GAAACACTTGGACGTGGAAGACTTCATATATATAGCTGTTTTTAAAAATATGAATAAATTCATCTAGTAAGTGTAGTCATGTGAGTGAACTTTCCCTCGTGACTTTTCAGCTCATATTCGCCGTATTTAAAAAATTTGTATATTTTATGTTTTTTTTTTTCTTTTGCAGTCCTGGGGCTTGAACTCAGAGCCTGGGCGCTGTCCCTCAACTTCTTTTGCTCAAGGCTATCTCTAGTACTTGAGCCACAGTGCCACTTCTGGCTTTTTCTATTTATGTGGTACTAAGGATTTGAAACCAGGGCTTCATGCATGCTAGGCAAGCATTCTTACCACTGAGCCACATTCCCAGCCCTATTTTATGATGTCTTGACATCATGATGTATACAAGGGACCTTGCTCGCTGGGAAGACTGGGACCAGTGTTTTGTTTATTTGGTGCTGGGGATTGAAAAGACTAGCTAATACTTAAGAGATCTTTAACCACTTGTCACTGAACCTGTTTTTCATATTCAAAGCAAACAATCTTGAGCCAACTAGGTGCCTCAATTCTAGCTACTCAAGATTCTGAAACCTGTAAAATTGTTTGTAGTTCAAAGCCAGAAAAGTCTCTGTTTCCAAATAACAAGTAAAATGCCAGACTAGAGGAATGGCCCAATGATAGCAAGCAAGCCAAATGAGAGCATGAGGCCCCATCAAGCTCTGGTGCCAGCAAATAAACAAGCCAAGAAACAAAGCAGAAAGTCCTGTGTGTTCCATTCCCAGTCAGTTCACATACTAGCCCAAATATTCCTTGTATTGATTACCCATAGCCATGTACCAGATAATGGGATTTGCCCATTGATAGTATTCAGCTAATCTTAACCTATTCTACTCTGTCCTGCTTGTTTTGATTTTTTCCTCTGGAAAACAGTAAACACTCTGGCCTGTGCTTTCTCCCTAGTAGTATCTTTTGCCTCTTGACCAAATCTGGTGCTTCCCTTTGTAGCCTTTAGTGCCTTTTTTTTGGAAATGTTAAGTGATTCTTGCAATGGCATCTACCTCTTTATGTTTCCTTCAATTAAGATCCTGTGGATACAGTTGAACCACTCCTACTTACTACATTCTGTTTTCTTCTTTGTCTTTTCCTTTGCCATATCCTTCTATCTCAATCCTCTCTCTTCTTTTTCTCCTATTTTTGGAAACAGTGCCTTCAATGTAGCCCAGGCTGGTCTCACAGTTTTCCTGCCTTTTCCTGCCCCAGTCTCCTGCCCCAGCCTTCATTCATGCCCAGCTTTTTTTTTTTTTTTTTTGGGTCCGGTCGTGGGGCCTGAACTCTGGGCCTGGGCACTGTCCCTCAGCTCTTCAGCTCAAGGCTAGCACTCTACCACTTGAGCCACAGCACCACTTCCGGCTTTTTTCTTTTGGCTTATGTGGTGCTGAGGAATCGAACCCAGGGCCTCGAGCATGCAAGGCAAGCACTCTACCACTGAGCCACCTTCCCAGCCCCCCAGCTTTTTTTTCCCTTCCATTTTGTTACTAAATGTAACCCCCCCAAAAAAAGGGGGTGTAGTTCTTTATTTAGATTACTTAGAAATTTACCATGGAAATACCTGTTTTCTTGTTAATTTTCTTTTGACCACCGGCCATCCAAACCCAAACTCTGTCTACGAAAGAGTTATCTTTTATGTGTATTTTGACTCATTTGTTTGCCCTAACATAGTATGTCTATGTAATGTACAAAAGTTCTGAATTTAAGAGTATCCCGTCGCAGTTTAGATGCATTTTTTGTATGGTTCACTATAGTTAGTAGGATAATAAAACTTTTTTTTTTTTTTTTTTT